CTGAGGATTGTGTCCCAAGGTTCACAGTAGTGATTTCTTGAACAAAATGTTGTGCTTTGTTGCTACTGTGCTTCAGACAAAGGGGAGTCTGGTGGGTATTTCAGGATATGTGTTCAATGCAGTCAATTTGTGACTATTGAGACTTGGGCTTAGTGTATGTGTTAATTTTGGTTACAGCTCCTTTGTCAGGCATGGGATAAAAATAAACTCATTTCCTTTGGTGCCTCATTCCTAAAGGATGCAAAAAGGACCATCTCATTTCAGGATAAGACTTGCTTTACTTGCATTTCCCAGCCTGTCTAGTCAGCTTCTCTCCACTTGTGGCCATAGTTAGTGGCCTCTCCTTGCCCTCCTCACACCTACTGCAGAGTCAGGGGACAGAGAAGTGCATCTCTTTCCTTACTCCAAGAGTGGAAAATTAACCATTTCACTTCCTTGCCAGTCAAAGTACACTCCCATCTAATCACAGCAATCCACACACCTCCTAGTTTACTTCAGACAGAGCTGCAATTGAGTGAAGGCTTTGAGGAGCTTTAATGTGTTTAATTTACCAAGGTGATCAGACAGCAGGTGGTGTATTGTTCAACATCTCCAGATACGACTATGTACAATAATTATATGTTTTGGTTTTGTAAATGGGTTTTAATTTTTATGAATTAACATCAGTTAAAAGCACCAGAGCAACCAGAGAAGAGCTGTGTAAATGCATTTATTGCTCGGCAGTCTGTGTGCTGCAGTTTATGTGAGGAAGTTAGCAGGAATCCAGCGTATTGACCAGGAGGTTCATGTGTTGCACAGATTTTTCTGTATCTTAGATAAACCATTTAGTCTCCCTGTCCCCAGTTTCTTCTCATGTTGCTTTCCAATTTGTAAAATACACTGGAAGTAGTGAAGTACTTTGATCTATTTATTTAGATGGAATGATTTGGAGCAGAGATCTTTTTCACTGTGTATCCTGGAAGCACATTTGAAATCCCTTCTCTATCCTCCAAATAAGCAAGCATGCACAACATGATATTCCAAGAGGATGCATTACAGAAGGTAGCACTGCACACTGCTGAATAAAAGATGGCAGCTTTCCATATGCCACCTTTGAAGAGGTAATCTAATTCCATTAGAATTCATTATGGATGCTCAGGTTACATAGCAGACCCACTGCCCAGACTGCATAACCCAGTCTCTCGTGTTGCCAGAAGAAAGTGAGCCAAGCAGTTAACAGCACGATGGTTCTTAGACTGTTTTGCCCAAAACCAAACTCTTAGGGAAATTAAGAAGATATAAACTTCACAAACGACTTGTACTTATTTATATTATTAACTATCATCATAATCTTCCATAGAAGAAAAATATAATTCAAGAATAACTCACCAGAAGAACACAAGCGGATCTTAACAGAAAAGAAGAGGCTTGTTAGATTCCAGAAAACAGAAAGAAACCTTAAGTTATTTGACTGCAGTCTTTAATTGTTTAAATTTTTAATGAAAAATAATTTTAAAAGCCAACATGAGCTGTCTCAGGTAAATCGATTTCTTAAAACATTTAAAATCATTTGGACACTTCACTTTTGTCTGTGTTGCTTCTTCCTTTTATTCCCACTGCACTTTCCCCTCTGCCTGTGGAGATCAGGGTAGCTGCCTCTGCAGAACAGCAATCTCATTTTGTTTACCTCGTGTTTCAAAGAGAATTGAACAAGCCCAGGATTCGCTTTGTCTAAACAAATATTGGCAAGACAAAGGTATCACAGCTATTCTACGGACAAGAGGTTTGTTGAGATGGAGAATGGTAAAGACTGCCAAGAAAAAAAAAAGTCAATGTGTTTTTATCTGAAAAAAAAAAGTTAATCCTTTTTACAGCCTCATTTTCTTCGCTTTTGAGATAGCTCTCCTTTTTCATTTAGGTTTTAGAGTTTTTAAGCTAAGAGAAGCAAGAAACTGAGATATTTTCTTTGTTCCTGTCAAGTAGCTTGAACAGTTTGAGAACAGAAACCAGTCAGAGCAGTGTGATTAGCGTAGCCAATTAAGGTGGATTTGCATATTCACAACACAGCAATCGAGAGATAATTCTGCAGTGATAACGCAAGTGTGGCAGTGCCTGTCTGCCTATCAGAGCGCCCTGGCAAACATGCTGTATGGTAATTGAGAAATAACCACAGAGTGATTTTGCAGATTGGGCACCCCGAGCCAACCCCCGTGCTGGCGCTGCACAGCTGGGGAAGAAAGGGCGTTTGTAAGGCGGGAGCAGAATGATCCCCCCGCACACCGGAAAAGGTTAATCTACAATCCATTTACCGAAATGCAATGGCATCTGTCAAATGAGTTTGCTTTTCCAAGATTCATTGGAATACAACTTGCACTAACTGCCAGTTTTGGGGGACCAACCTCATCAGGAGTTTGGGGGACCTGGCTTTTAATGAGACAGCATCTGGCCAACCCAGCCTGGTCCCCAGGCACTGCGAGTTGCTAGATGGTGTGCTACACAAGGTGCAGAAGGTGAGCTTCATGCAGTGGCCTAAAGGATGGATGATAAAGCTCTGCTTTCTTCTGCCCCCAAAAGGCTTTTCACCAGAGTGCTATCCAAGGACCAGGCAAGAAAGCAAACCACCCCTCAGGAAACTTTGTACACTCTGTTGGATAACAAACTGGGGCGGGTGATCACAGCACCTTTATTATCTCTGAAGGTGAAAAATCACCTTATATACTACAGCGACAACAATCTGCTCCATCTCAGTGTTCCTCTGGCTCCCACCACTCGTCATCTCTTCCCAAGAACTGCATCACCACAGGCTTTTGGGTGGACATGACTGGCCGAGCAAGTGGCACACAGAGCCAGCTGCACACTGTGCCCATGTGATCTGCATCTTCAGGAGGCTCTGTTTGCTTACCAAGGATGCTGACAAGTGATTGGCAGTGTGCAGCATCCGTGTGTGCTGATTTTAGAAAGAAATATGGTGATTTCTACCCTTAATGCTCTTGCCTCCTCTTCAGTGCTGGCAGCTGAAGTCGTGGTGTGCAATTGCAACAAACTGGGTCAGGAGGAACTCTCTGGAGTGCTCTCCCAGGTGCAACTACAGAGGCCGCAGTTCACTTTTGAAACTGCTAAGGGAAAGGCAACAACACAAAAATTAACTCATGGTATTTACTGTTACGAGGTATCAAGGAAAACTTAAGGAAATCCCTAAAATGAGACTGTGACACAAATCATATGTTTATAAACTGGTATCATCTCCATCGGGGTAAAGATTATGATCTCCCAACCTCCATGCCACAGAGATCACATTCAGTTGTCAGAAATTTCTTCCTCCAAAAAGATATATTTTTTTTATAATCACTCATGATAGGGATTTTATACCTATCTCTGGAATATCCACTCCTGGTTTATCTAGTCCAGTAACATATGTAATATTTTTTTATATTTAATGGTCTCAGTCTATGAGCATCCACAATTGTCTCTTTCCTTCCTATCCCCTTTGTGGCACAAGCTCTTTATTAGAAACTTAATAAACTTTGTGTATGTTCTAAAGATAATATTGAAAATGCAAAATTGTGTTCTGCATTTTATAATTGGTGTGGAAAAAAGGGGGAGATCTAATCCTATTGGACCTTCTCTCTCTTTTGCTCTCTCTCTCTCACTTTTCCCTTTTGATGGTAAGCAGCAAATTTTAATTAGCTTCATTTCCACAATTCAGTCATGCATATGTAATCTTTGTTCACTCTTTTATAAAGTAAAATTAAGTGAAAGAAATGGGGTAATAATAGAAAGCTTGTCTGAGCAGAACAAATGTGAATTATCAAACATAAGGAAAGATGACTGGCACTACACAGCTTGAAGTTGTGCAAGGTTTGAGGTGATTTTTCTGAAACAGAAATGCATAAATAATGCATAGAAACAGGTGCTGATTATCCTGGTTTGGGCATCTTTTGTTCATTATATACTTGGGCTGCTGAGGTACAGTGATAACCACTGAATGTGAGGAGACTGCTTAACAACAACTTCCTAATGTTTTTCTTTTATCATGAGCTGCAAGTGTCACATGAGCTTGTCTAGTTAATAAAAATCACTTTGTGAACCCACTGTTCTTAGATTTGGTATTGGAGCAGATCACAGTACTGGGCCTCTCTCTATTATAGCTGCAAAAGCTGTATGGCCATTTTGCATTGTAATTTAAAGGTTCCCTAATCCATATACACACCCTCTAATTAAATGTTTCCAGGGGTTACCTTGGGAGCCTTCAGTGCTATGGTTTGAAACTAAAACTAAAGAGCGCGTTTAATTTATTCCTCTTGGGGTGAGACACAGTAGGGGGAAGTACGTTTTCATCCCCTGCTACTCCAGATTATTTGAAAGCATGAGCATGACTGGGTTACTAACTTCATTATTGCTCTTATCTAACATGAGAAGACAGAAATTTGAAGGGAAACAATTGATGTGTCTAAATCTAGAGTTCAGCTTACTTCATAACTTCTGAGAAGGCTCTTTGGAGTCTAGCCAGTTATTTTAAGAAGCTACCAGTTCAGCAGCAGCAACTGAAAACCAGAATGTCCTGTTGATGTAAATCAGTCCATGGCTGCACATAACCAACACTGCTGCTGCAGATGCCGAGGTTTTGATAAAAGGAAATGTAAAGTAGTGAAGCTTGTGGCATTAGCACACGTAGTAATGAAGCCTGAAGCCCAGTTAATGTTAAACTCATGAGGAGATACTTTCTCTTTAGCATGGGTCCATTCATACATTCAGCCTGACCCCACCAAACCAACAGCTTTAGGTGAAACACCTCTTTTCGTCCTTGCGAAGCAACTCCTACTACAGGAAGTGAATTTCAGACATGGGTGGCTCACCCTTTTCTTTTTTTCTCTCCTCTAAGCCCGCTGTTCTGTCAGTGACTAGAGAACTAGGGATAGCCAAGATTTAAGTTAATGGTTAACAGAGTAGCTGTAACCACACAGAAACTCTGACTTCCTCCTGGGGCGGGGACCAAAAGCTGCTTTGCTCGCAGAGGAAGAGGCAAGCGCTGAAAGCAGAGCAGTTCATACCGTGAAGGGCTGGAAAACAGCAGCTTCAGTCCATAGAGAAAGGAGAAGGAAAATCCGAAAGGAGAAGGAAAATCCGAAAGGAGAAAGAGGTGTTTGCCATAAAGATAGGTAAGAGCTGAAACACTTTCCTGTTCGGCTTACTTGACTCAGAGGGTTGCTAACAAACCCCACAGGTGTGGCCAGGTGACACACGTTATACCTGATTGCTTGGACATGTGCGTCTCCGTGAGAGGGGCAAAGCAAGAAAGGATCTGTTTGCTGTGAATTTGAACATCAGAGAAGGCAGGAGGGCACTTTGTCCCTCCTCTCCACCAGGGGCTGCTCATGGCAGGACAGACATCCACTTCAGACTGCTCTCATCTCATTGACCACAGCCATGTTCAGGAGTTTGAGGTGGCTCTGTGGATCAAGATCACTTTGGCCTTAGTCTACATCTGCGTCTTTGTTGCGGGCATCTTGGGCAACAGCATCACCATCAAGGCCACCAGGATTCTGCAGAAGAAAGGCTACTTGCAGAAGGAGGTCACCGACCACATGGTGAGCCTGGCCTGCTCTGACCTACTAGTCATCCTGCTGGGCATGCCCATGGAGTTCTTCAGTGCCATCTGGAGCCCCTTTTCTACCCCCAATGGCAACATTGCCTGCAAGCTCTACTACTTCCTCTTTGAAGCCTGCAGTTATGCCACTGTGCTGCATGTTGCCACCCTCAGCTTTGAGAGGTACATCGCTATCTGCCACCCCTTCAAGTTCAAGTCTCTCTCTGGACCCCGCAAGGTGAAGCTGCTCATCGCCTTTGTCTGGGGGACATCTGTCTTGGTGGCTCTGCCCCTGCTCTTTGCCATGGGCACAGAATATCCCCTGGAAATTGTTGAGGGCTACCAAAGTACGACAGCCTGTGTCAGACCTACTCCCAGGCACGTCATACCTGAGCTGAAGTACAACATGACCATCTGTACCAGCCTCTCTTCCAAGTTTCCTCTCTTTCAAGCCAGCGTCTTCGGTGCCTTTGCCGTGTACATCATAGTGCTGGGATCAGTCACCTTCATGTGCCACAGCATGATGAAAGCCCTGATGATCCACAAGGAAGGAACTGTGGCAGTGAAGGGAGGACAAAAGCACCAGAAGTATCTAAGAAAAAGTGAGAGCTCAGAGGGCAAGAGCTCCAGGAGACAGATCATTATTTTCCTGGGTAAGAACCCTGTCCTACTCTGCCTCCCCTCTGTCCTCTGCCCCCTTTCTACATGGGAAGGAAGTACACAAGCCTCCATTTTATCTCACCAAATTCCCCCGAATGGGGAATGTATGGTTGGAGACCGGTACAAAATGAGGGATAGGCAATACTTTTGGTTGGGAGGATACATTTTAAAAACCTGATGTCTCTATATGTTTTTGACACTCTCTTTTTGTCATTAGAACAGGTGTGAGGGAAAAAGAAGGAAAAATCCATTCACTGTTTGCTGTTTCTGTTGTCTGATTATCCTGCATGCCTACGTGCAGCAGTATGGGTGATAGGCTGTTGCAGCTTGACCTTTGGGGTAGCAATAGGCAACGATTGCCTGGATATAAAGTAGCTCTACTTGCACGTTTTCCCAATAAATTACAAATATGAGCATACTTAATAAGGCTCCTGATGGGAAGGAAGACTATCTTGCGAGATCTGAAGCTTGTCCCTCTCTAAAGGCATTTCCCTTTTAATTCAGGATGCTCCTTGGAGAGTTCTTATTTAACCTCAGTAGTTATGGCTGTGTTGCATCTGAGCATCAAAGAAGCTAGGCTGGAGAGTTTATTTGATATTTGGTTGCCCTCTTTGAATTTTTTTCCCTGGTTTTATTTGAAGGCCTGTAACCTCGAAATTATGTTTGATTCTGATCTCTGTTGCCACATTTGTCAGACAAAAACTAATCAAGCTGTCATTTCGCCAACTTGGAATCTTTCCAGGCTGTGATCCATGTAGTCTCCACATTTGTTGATGTTCTTAGAAGTGCCCTTAATCATGTCCTGGCTGCATTACTACTAGTTCCTGTTTTATTGGGTTGCTTAATATGATACTGGATATAATAAATGAATCATCTAGGGTAAGAATATGCAGTAGACCCAGTACTTGTGCATTGCTTTTTAGTGCTCTGATTGATATTGAAGAGAGGGAATTGAAACTTGTGGGTCTGTCCACTTCTGCAACTTTAGGTAGATTAGCTCTTTTATTAATTTTTCCTCTTTTTAAATTATTTTTGCTTTCTGAGGATTCTCTGATTCCTCCTCTAGTCCTGCTTTTGCCATGGTCTATGGCTAGGACATGAATGCAGGGTAAGGAGCCCAGGGTGCAGCCAGCCCCTTTCCTGCTGCAGCTGTGTGAGAGCATGGTGAAAACCCGTCATTCAGACAAGGCATATGACTTGGGTTTGGGACAGGGTGGAGCTGCACACTCCACCAGCAGAGAGAATGACAAGGGCTTCAAATGGGAGATGTGACACTCCAGGCTGTACAGAGCCCTTCCTCATGCTCAGAGTGTACATCTAATGAAGAAATCATCTCCTTTCACAAGGAGTCTGTTAGTCTAGGGCAAGAGGCCCTGTATGTGGGTGATTGAAAGGGCTCTCAGTATCCTCATTCCACTTGACAGTACTGATTTCTGGGGTAGAGGCACAGCAGTGCAGCTAAATATACCTGTTGCACAAAGCAGAAAAACAGATCTGCTCTTGAAGTGTTACCTGTGGGTTCCTTAAATGTCTGTGCCTCTGCAACCTGTTGTAAGTTACCATTACCCCATTACCACAGCTACATTAAAGCCCAGTCTGAGATCCAAATCCTGGCTAGGTTGAGGGGGAAAGGTAAATTGCCATGACTTTTTTTTCCCTTCTTGATTATTCTTCTTCTTTGGTGATGGTCTAGCATGGAATAGGCAGATGTGCTGCCTGCAGGAGTACTGGAAAGCTAAATGAAAGCAACTAGTTTGCCTTTTATCATGAGGGAATTTGCCACCAGTATCTGACATTTCCTCCGTACTCTCAGCTTTTTGGAGGCAGTAGATACTTCCACGAATTCCCCCAAATTATTTCAGTGGTAAGACTTTAATACGAATCTTGCTAATTTACTTGGCTTTGGGAATAAATTAATAAACTGAGGAGGAAGAAACTCTGGCCTGCAAAGCAATTTAATTTGGAGATTTCATAATAGTGATGCTTTAGGGCAGTTTTAACCCAGAAGAAATGAACATATAAATTGTTTACAAATCGCTGAATTTAAATATTGTGATTTAGAAGTCCTCTTTGCTTTTCATTTAACAGATGGGTCAAATTAAAACAAATACTTGCACATTCTCAACATATTTCACTTTTAATGTGAAATGTAAATGGCAGTATACAGCATCATGTCTTTGAACATCTAGCAGCAATAAAAACAATTTAGCATTTTCCTCTGGTTGTTAAAAGTGATAAGTTCTATAAAACGGAGATTAAATTCATAAATCTCCTGACGATGAGAAAAAGCTAATCAGGGGATGGCACAGGAAGGATCTAATGCTTTTTTAGTGTCACGTTATTGTGTGGCACTTGAGAATAGTCATGAAAATTAATTGTAAATGTTGAAAGGGAAAGACCACTTGCCATAAGCAGTATTGATGCTTACAGGATGGGCTCCAGGTAGGGTGACACCACTGCTGTGGTGGAGGAGGAAGGTGCCAGGGGGACAAGCACCATGGTGCTGGACAGGCTGAGCTCATGTGGGGAAGAGCTTTTGTGTTCAGGGAAGGTGTCTGCAAGGGTCAAATCTTTCAGCTTAAAGCCCAGGTGGTCTGATTTGGGATTTGAAGTCTTTGATGTAGAGAGATCAGTTCCTTTTCTTTCTGCTACCTTGCTGTGCTCAGGGTGGAAAGCAGGGATTGCCCAAATGGCTGCACTAACAACTCTGCCAGCTGTTGGGGAGGGGTTATTTAAAGGGGCTCTTCAGCTCAAATTTGGTAGATTTGCCTCAGTGGTGGAATGCAAATTTGTCCCAATATTTTGGAGAAAATCAATTCTGTTTTTATAAAGTAGGCTGTGCAATGCTATTCCTTCCAACTTCCTTCTCACTATTGCAGTTGGCTCCACGAAAAATGTGATAGCACATGTAAGTCTCTGCATAATGCTCCTACTCCAGAAATTAGGCATTTTGTGCTTTTGGATAGACTGGGTCATACTCCCTGCAGTGTCTGTGTGTGATTTATTTAATAATTTTCAGAGTCATGTGGTAAAACCCCAGTGCCTCCAGTGGATCAGTCCATCCATATGAGCCACACAGGTCACACTGCTTGACATTGTTTGGGTTACCTATGTTTGATGTTAAAGCAGTTTTGCTCATAGTGGGACAGCAGATCTTTCTTCTACATATATCTGTATGAATGTGGCTGAATATCAGGGAAAATATAGCTGAAGTTAATTTTTGGTTGGTTCACAGCAACATTTGTTAATAAGAGTTTCTCCACCCTGAGCACCAGAAACTGGATAGCTGCAGTGGTTATAAAAACACTTCGCTGATGGCTTTATGATTAAATGCAAGCTTTTAACAGTATTTAAAACCTCCTAATGCCTGACTCACCCTGACAGGGATTGATTTCATCTTTGTGGCTACTTGATCTTGTCTTTCTCCTTTGGCCCTAAAAGGCAGGGCAGTAATCACCTAAATTGTCACAAAGTGCCAGTGGGGACCTCTTGCTTCTCTAATACCTGATCTGAGACCCCTGCACTGTAGCAGAGAGCTCTTAAGAAAGGAGGAGTTTGGAGACATATATCAATTATTATAAATATTATAAGTGGGTTGTAGCAAACAAAGGAGGAGAATGTAAAGGAAGGATTCCATAAAAGAGAGGTCCAGCTAGTGCAATAATTATAAATATTACAAAAGGAAGGCCCTTCCATAGCTGCAAGTAAGTTAAAAGTCTTTAGGAAATGTTAACAGGTGGGCATTGGGAAAGAGGAGCAGTATGGGGCAAGCCTCCACACAAGGTGCTGGTGGGAAAGACCTTGGCACCAATGGCTCCACGCCTGCAGTGCCTGCTCACTGGTCATGGCTACATCCTTCTTAATCTGGTCATTGTATAAATGCACATTTATACTAAAGCAGCTGTATGGTTTGTCATCAGGCTAGATCTGACTCACCTGGGCTTGTACTCAACAACTAAGTGGGTTTTGACTCTCCCAGCTGAAAAAAGTATTGCTTCTAAAACTTCTGTGATATTTCCCTTGGCAGCTTCAGTTTGTGCTTCTGCTAAAAGCCTTAATCATTTTGCATAAAGCAGCCTCAAGCCTACCACAGTAAAGACATTGAAGTGAGAGTCCTTTAGTATTGCTACCCCCTCTTTCTTTGCCTTTTGGAGCAACACTCCTCTGTTTCCACAGCAGAGGGGTCCTGCTGCATGGGGCTGGTATCTGGGCAGTTCTTTTCTGTCTCCTGACCATGATGAAGCATCTATCCATCCTGAGCTCTCCCATCCAGAAATGAAAAGTATCACAATAATCTGGCTGTTATGGAAGAGTTGATGAAGATGCATTAAAGAACTGCTACAGCAGTCAGCAGGAGCCAGAGCTGATGCTGGACCTCCCTAAATGGAGAATCTGCTGGTATCAGCCCAGCACTGTCAGCTCCTCTGGGAGTGAGGCCAAGTAAGGCAGATAATTCCCACTGTTCTCTCTTTCCCATCACTACAGAAATTTAACTGCTCTCCTTTGGGACCATCTGATGTAGGATGAATTTTGCCTACATGCCTGGACAGCCAATATCCTACAGCTTCTTTAATAACCAGGCAAGGGAATTGTTTATCATAATCAATGACAGTGCCTCCATCTGAGAAAGGCAGTGTGATGGTGGTGGTTTTTGTTTGTTTGTTTCTGGTTTTTTTGTTGTTTTGGTTTTTTGTTTGTTTGGGGTTTTTTTGTTGTTGTTGTTTTTGTTGTTGTTTTTGTTTTTTAAATTTTATTTTATTTAATTTTTTATTTTTTCCAACACTTAAGTATGTCAAATACACTGACAGGGCAGTAGTAGCTAAAGGCTTTACTGAGACTCTGGTAAGTGCCACAGAAGGAAAGAGAGTCCCTGCCTCTGAATCAAAAAAACAATGGACAAAAAGGAAGGGCTGGAAAGGAAGAAGTCAGTGCCCTGATCAAGGCCACAAATGCAATAGAGAGTCACAAATGCATCTGCTGAATCTTGCAGTAG